TCCTTAAATTGCAACTAAAATATTAACAACAATTAAATTGTCCAGCTGACCATAATGTAAACAAATATGATCTTCATAAGGATAACATGGTAACTTTAAAAGCCACTGGGGCAGAGCCCAAGGGAATAAAAAAATGTAAGTTCAGTTTGTAAATCTACACACCTAGACAAACATTTTATTATATAGATATGTGGGGTTAAATAAAAAAAGCCTTATTGTTCACAAAGTTTCATGTAGCGTATTAATAATATAGATTATTTGTGGAACCACTACCTCCTACACCTCCTCACCGAGTACCTCTAGTGATATTATGTAGCCGCACGAGTTTATCGTATACAAATGTGCTTTGTTGGACACCTGATCCTGTCGTATTCAAGAGCTGAAAAATCACTTTCTCTTTTATATGCGGGTGTACTTGAATTATTCATTCTGTCTCCGGCGTCCAAGTAATGTAACGCTATTTACTTGGCTTCCCTGCCGCAGCGGTGTAAAATGGTCATGCAAAAAAGTAGTTGTGAGAAGCTGATTATAAAACTATTCTAAAAAAAAAATATATATATATCGCTACAATGTGCTATATTTTTGTCCTTAATGTGAAATTGTTAACAAAATTACTCAGTTAAATATGTTTTAAGTTGTGAGAATTCTTTTAGGAGAGATTTTTAAAATTTAAGTTTGTTGATAACACGTTTTTTATAGGTGGTTAAGTTTAGTGTAAATTTAAACTTGTATGGCATTCAATCTACTCTTACAGCATCCTCATTTCAAACCCCCATATATTTACACGTGTAGGACTAAACAATATTTTATTGGTATAAATAATACATTAAATACCAATAATCCCATCCAATGTTTTATGGATTTTGCATGTAATCTTATTTTAAATTAAAATAATACCCAGATACCAATTTTTCACTTCGATTTTAGAATTTAAGAATTACCAAAATGCTTCCACAATTTTGTGATAGCCTACGATTAAGTTCACACCATGTTGATTTTTACATGTTGAATTTTACATATAAGTATTAGAACAGTTACCGTATTGTTATTATGCAGAGTAATTATCTTTAGCTCTGGTAATAATAATTATGAGTAATTATCTGCACAAGATTAGCAGCAGTGGTCTCATTATTTGTTGAACACAAACATTAGCTCCAGACACGATTAATCTTACACAACATAACCAACAATATTCATCTAGTGAATATATTCAGCGGTATGACGTAACAATGCTATTAATGTCGCTGCAATGTTCATTTTTAAATTTTTGTTTGGTTACGTAACTCCTATTTTTATTACAGCTAATCTTACTAATATTATAAATGTGAAAGTTTGTGTGTTTGTTTGTTTGAATTTCAATCACGCATTAAATACTGATCGGATTGGGCTGAAATTTGGTACAATGATAGCTCACGTTCCCGATTAACATGTAGACATATTCTTATCCAAACAAATGGCCTAATAAACTATTTATTAACTGTCATACAATGGAATTAATATGATGTAGTATAATCTAATATATAAAATTCTCGTGTCACAGTGTTGTCTGCAAACTCCACCGGAACGACTTCACCGATCGTTATGAAATTTGGTGTGTAAATTCTGTAGGTATGCGAATCGGACGTAAACTATTTCCCGTTTCGAAATTCTTAAAAGGGCTCCGCCCCAGTGGCTCTGGAGTTTCCCATGTTAAACTTATGAGAAATGGAATTAATGAATCTTAACAGCTGTTTCAATTAAACAAGTTGGTTCTGTTCTATGATGTTCAATAGCATTAAAGTTACAAGGATTACCAACAGGGTGCAGCACTATTATTTCTTTTACATTTATGACAACAGCTAATTTGCAACCAAAAGGTGAGTGAGCGTAGCGAACGAACTTGAACCTGGAGGCGAGTTAGCGTAGCGAACGAGCAAACCTGAAGGCAAGTGAGCGCAGCGAACGAGCTCCAACCCTCAAGGTGAGTGAGCGTAGCGAACGAGCTCCAACCCAAAGGTGAGTGAGCGTAGCGAACGAACTTCAACCTGGAGGCGAGTTAGCGTAGCGAACGAGCTAACCTGAAGGCAAGTGAGCGCAGCGAACGAGCTCCAACCTAAAGGTGAGTGAGCGTAGCGAACGAGCTCCAACCCAAAGGTGAGTGAGCGTAGCGAACGAACTTCAACCAGGACGTGATTGAGCGATGCGAACGAGATCATCTTGAAAATTAAACGTAACGGTACTTTCTTTCCATAGGTATGTCTTAGGGGAAACCTATAACTTAGGCGATACGAAGTTCGCCGGGTCAGCTAGTAATAATGTAAAATTAATTAAATAAACTGCTTTATCTGAACAAATAATGATTCAAACTTTGTTTGTTATGAAAATCTACTTCAATTCAACCTATTTATGAGGATTTCGTGAGCTAAAAATATAGTTAAAAATATCTTTACCAACCCATTATCGTGTAACCATCCTAAATAACAATATGTTCAAACACTGTAAATATCTTTACCAACCCATTATCGTGTAACCATCCTAAATAACAATATGTTCAAACACTGTAGACTGAAGAAACAACTTGGAATGCAAGTACTCACTGAGCTGTTGAATAATTTGTGATATCGTCATGTTTAAATATTCAGCCTGTGGTACTGAGAACAAACAATTGCATTTCCTCGTCACCGACGCTGAAAGGGGTTGTTTAAACTGGAAGATTCACAGGAAATAAGTTCTCTTTGCTCTTATCTGAGAGGACACAATGAATGGAAACCGTCGACGGTAGATAATATAGATAAATGACTTGCAGAAGTGTCTAATTATTTGTGACTTTATGTGAAATAAAAATATTACATTTTACCTGATTCCTCTGATAACAGTGAAATGTATAAGAGGAGACTACCTATAAAATTAGACATATTACTGCATCCCGGTAAAACTTTTTTATAAAGCTAATTTTTAGTAAGAAATTTTTCCTCTCTAGCTCAGTGATTAGTGCTTATCTAGTAATCAAAAGGTCGCCGGTTCGATCCTGAGAAAAGCGTGTGGCTTTTTGAAGGTTCGAAACTGGACCCAGCTGTCCTTGATCATTGGGATTCTAACAAAATGGCCCTGATTGATTAAACAGCTGATCGTCAGGGACAAGGCATCACACTCTATTCTGCACTCTACACTCATCCTTTACTCATATTTAATATAAAATAAAATACGCACATAGGTGGTGTGCCCATCTCAATTTATACTGATAATGATAATTTCGTGTTGCAAGTCTTGCTTCCAAACAAACTAAATTAATGTATTGAAAAAATATTGATGTGATCACAAATCTCCTTTCAAATATGGGACAGCTACTTTGCAATGGATGAAGTGGAGGCATTTAAATCTTTATTTTTGAACAATTGGTTCCCCAAGTTTAATCAACGTAGCCAACTACTCTCAATATAATCAATAATTAACCTATACTTTTTTAATTGATACGTACGTTTAATCAACTTATTGATTCGTGAACTAAATAAAATAATTTCATAACATGTTTTTCCTTATAATTTGAATAAGTAACACTACAATGTATTTCTTTAATATTGCGATTGAATTAAATTTATTTTATTTTTACTTTCATCCAAGTACCTTGGATACCTTTAAGTATAAGGAGAGAAATGACAAAAACTATTACTTACCTAATATTTTAATCTAAACGAATTTTGTCACGGACTTATGAAAATTGCCATTAAAAACTAAGTAACTTTAAAAAACTTAAATTAGTAACTACTAGAAAATTTAACAATTACCTGTACATTTTTTCCACAATTGATTTTCGAGTATCGTTTGAGAACCTTATCATATTTCCTAAAACAATATAAAACTTATCTTTATGAAAACACTTTGTTATGATTTTTTACCTCAAACAATGTCAAGTCACATACTCAATTTCTCTAAGAATTTATTGAAACCCATTTTATTTATATAGAAGAGCTTTATTCCACCATTAGCCCAGCTTTAGCACCTTCTTTTGTGCTCCATTTTAAGTGTATTTTTATCTGATCATAAAAAGTGTCGATCACAGCAAACTTACTGCAGATGAAATTAACCTTTAACCAATAATTTATTAGGTAGCGTTAGATATTACCTTATCTTAAATTATTTTCCCAAATGATTACTATATAAACTTGTATTTCTCTTCAAATTTAAATAAAATATAGTTTAATTGATCGTTGTTGTCGGGTTCACATATTTGGCAAATCTTTGGATGTTGTTGTATGTCTTAAGACGAAAATATGAAAATCTGTATGAGAAGCTGTTGTAAAGTCTGTCTTTAAATTTAAAGTACCAGGAGACCAAGCTTTGCTCGGATTGAATTCTACAAACTTAATATACAAGTTAATTTGCTTAATTATAGATATTTACTGTAATCAATGTGAACACAATTAGATGATACAAAGAAAGCATCTTAATGCACCTTTATAAATAGATTGCAATAAAAACAACCTTTATCAGCTGTTTATTAACTGCAGCTACAAAAAGGTATTGACTATAGCATTGCTATAACTCAAGGGCTGTTGGGCGGAAACTGGACATTTCCCGTCCTTGTGACCAACTCCAATCGATTTATCTTGGCCAAATACCCCATAACAAACACAAAAATTCAAAATCCTTGGACGAAAATAAAAGTTTGTCTGTACACGCGCTTGTTTTAGAGTGTAAAATATATGTTATAATATTATCTTAAGATTGTATTAACCATTTTATCATGGCCTTCTCTAAAAGGCTGCGGCTAGACAAAAGTGGCAACGTCGCAGCCACGGCCTACCGAAACAGCTGTTGCACTCATAAAGGAGCTTCAGTGCAATGTTTACATTTATGTTGTGACTGTCAATACCATTAGGTGGCCGATGCGACGTTGCCAAACCAAATTGTTGGCCACGGCCTTGTATTTGCAAGAATTTTACTTTCAATTACAATTGCAAGACTATACATTTATCTTTCTGCGATTTCATTGTGATAATTGTAATATTTCTTTGTTCCAGACCGTGAGGCGGAATGGATCAAACCTGTGAACCTGAGGCTTGGTAGTGACGTCATGAATCAGTGAACATTCAACACAGCACAACATGTCGGACCCGGACAACTACGATGACGAGGTAGTTTAAACTTATATTATACATCAACATTTAGCTGATAAGTTATGGAAGTCACAAGTGTAAACCTTAGGTTATTCAGAAGTTTTTTTAATTGTTCAAAACGAGTCCCAGCTTTCCTTGATTATTGGGCTTCTAATCAATCATTGTGTCTGAATAAACAGCTGATCTTAGTCAATAAAAAGCTTCAGTTGGCATTTACCTCATTTCAAACTGACATTCACTAAGTAATAATTAATACACGTAGTGGCTTCATCAAACAAAAATGAAAGTATCTTACTAATATTATAAATGTGAAAGTTTGTGTGTTTGTGTGTTTGAAGTTCAATCACGCATAAACCACTGGACAGATTGGGCTGAAATTTGGCATGATGATAGCTTACATTCCCGATTAACATATAGGCATATTCTTATCTCAAAAATCGTTTCGGGCTCCGCCCCAGTGGCTCTGTAATTCCCCATGTTAACCTTATGAGTATTCATATTTAAAGGGAATTAAAGAATTTAGTCAGCTGTTTCAAATAAAAAAGTTGGTTCTATGATATGGAAAAGCATTACAAAGTTATAAGATTTACCAACAGGGCGCAGCACTATATTTTTTTGCATTTATGAAAACAGCCGATTTGAACTAAGCAGCAACAAAAAAACTGTGATTCGCAATGAGAACTGTCAAAGTAGGATTGTTTACAGTTATGTTTATGTTTTTTAATTTCATGAATAATTTGTGATATTTTGCGAATTGTTGATAATTTATTTTTCTCTATTGTTTAGGTGAAGTGGTAGAACATTATGCCTATGGTAGATGTGTAATAGGTACTAGGTAATAGGTAATAGAATATTGTAAATTTAAAAAAGCAAATGTTATCAAACTGTGTCCTCCCTTATTGCAAACGCAAAGCTTGAGTATAACTGCAATAAGCATTTTATACTTATACTAGCAGAGTACCCGTCCTTCGTACGGGGTCGGAATATAAGTATAAAATGCTTATTGCAGTTATACTCAAGCTTTGCGATTGCAATGGGTGGAGGACACAGTATGATAAAATTTGCTTTTTTAAATTTACAGTATTCTATAGTATTACACATCTACCATAGCCATAATGTTCTATTACTTCACCTAAACAATAGGGAAAAATAAATTATCAACAATTCGCAAAATATCACAGATTATTCATGAAATGAAAAACATAAACATAACTGTAAACAATCCTACTTTGACAGTTCTCATTGCGAATCACAGTTTTTTGTTGCTGCTTAGTTCAAATTAGCTGTTTTCATAAATGCAAAAAAAATATAGTGCTGCTCCCTGTTGGTAAATCATATAACTTTTTAATGCTTTTCCATATCATAGAACCAACTTTTTTAGTTGAAACAGCTGACTAAATTCTTTAATTCCCTTTAAATATGAATACTCATAAGGTTAACATGGGGAATTACAGAGCCACTGGGGCGGAGCCCGAAAGGATTTTTGAGATAAGAATATGCCTATATGTTAATCGGGAATGTAAGCTATCATCATGCCAAATTTCAGCCCAATCCGTCCAGTGGTTTATGCGTGATTGAACTTCAAACAAACAAACAAACAAACAAACAAACACACAAACTTTCACATTTATTTATAATATTAGTAAGACTAGTTGCTCTGCCCGTGCTTCGCTACGGGGTGAGAATGCAGAAAAGAAAAATTCGGTTTTACTGCAAGATACTATAATACTATGAGAAACAGTTACAACACACTTACCAGGAAACATGTAGGCAAAAGCTCAATCCTGCTTATTGATTATTTAAATTAAGATCTCTTTATGTATTACAGTACTATCATTTTATATAGTGTATAGCATTTAAAATATATGCAAAAGTATAATTCATTGACCACATGGCACCAAAAAACAATTCTCCTTGTAAACAAATTAAATTAAATAGCAGAACAGCATTTCTGACAACAGCTGTAGTTTAATAACAATGTTTGTTTCCCATGTTAATCTTATGGAGAAATACGAAACTTTAAAGGGCCCCAGCACCTCACTCTCTAATTATTTCCCTAAAAAGAAAGTTTCCTGCACAACTTCACGTTACGCTCTTTCCAATGACACCAAAAACATGTCAATCTGTTCAGTAGTTTCGGAGGAGTAATTGTCACAAAAATCATGCTTGCGTATTAAATAAGTATAGATTCCATCCCCGTACGAAGGACGGGTACCCTGCTAGTAGTCTATATATCTTGCAAAGATTTGTCTATAAGTTCAGCTACTAACAATGTGTTGTGGTAACTACCAGCCATAGACAAATTCAGGTTCCCTGCTCAAGAGTTGAACCATCACAAACGAAACCAAGTGGACAAATCTCAGGAAACTGACAATGCTCAGACATTTGTAGTTCGGTTTAATAGTTTGTTCAAATGCACTAGAGAAGGTTTGGTTTATTTTTGTATGGCTTAAAAAATGTTACAGCTGTTGAAAAATAAGTGTCAACACTGCAATGTAGTAAATAAATCAGGTAATAACCAAGAAAGTTTTTATAAAAGGAGATTAGGGACATTTTCTACAAACATTAAGGAGGTTTAAATTTCCTCAATATTTTCTCAAAACCTTACTTGTAAGTTTCAAAGCTATCGATGCATAAATAGGCTTGTAATATAAAATCAAACATCTAAACACCTTCCTGTGACAAAATGTAAGTTTAAAACAATATTTTCTTTTCCAGTCAATATATTTACTTTACCAAACTAATAACCATTGTTTTATTTCTAGGGGTAAACCTCGACTAATTGTTTCCTAAGAATCTAAAAAGATCTATACAAAAACGCTCGAGGAGTTTTATTTCAATATTCATTTGATGAACATTATTTATTCATCGCTGAAATGCAGTCAGTCAAAACGTTATAAGATTTGTTCAGTTAGTAACGAACAAAATCTTGAATTTTTACTCGAAGCCGGAGTGTCTTTCAATGTCGAAGAAATGAGATCCATTCACACCTTTTGTGATTCCTTCCTTTCCAAGCTATTCTAAGCGCGGAGGTTTTGAATTAAACATTTTAAACAAGCTGGGATGGTTCATCGGAACCTTTTTACACTGAAATAATTTTATCTCTGCTCTTAACATTTTTATCCCATGCTTAAAGTTTCCACTTCTTCACTGAGTTTATTTATGAAGTATTGTTTATAAAGTGAATACGAAAAAGTACTAAAAGTTTTCATTGTGAATTATACGTAATATGTTTTATTTTAGTCTTATTAAACTTTCATGTACCATTAGATAGTTTTCATAATTAGCTAATAAATAGTTTTATACCAATAGGTCAATCGGAGTTTTTTTAACCAATTGCTTGGATTTCTACACTGGTTTGGTTCTCAAGCTTAAAAAATATCAAATGGATGCCGCGGTATGAATATAATATTATTATCGATTTCAGGATGTAGGATTGATAGTTACTGCACGAGTCTCGGCTATAAAACAACTAATGGCAGTTGAAATAAGTTCTACGTTTGTGCACAAATACAGCTTATGTTTGGTTATTTATCTGTATAATAAATAAACATTTCCTATTCAAATCTACCTTCCTCTTAAGCGTACAAATTTGCATACTGTTTACATAAGCGAACCTTATAAATCCTGTAATGTGTTTTTCATGAAGGTCTGTCCGTTAAGAGAGAGAACTTTTTTGTGGAATCCATGATTTATGTGCTTTTGTTTTGTTGTGTCCGTTGTGACGCAAGCGCCACAGCTTCATGGCGTAAGGCGCTAGCATGCCGTTCAACCGCTCTTTTTCTTGGACCAATTTTTTCTAAGCTCAGCCGGCTCGTCTCTTCTCTCGCCCCTGTCTGCCCGCTGCCGTGATTTGACGAACTTCGAGTCTTCAAACTTCGTACAGAATGAACAATAATCAAGCTAAGTTAACTTATTAGTTTTAAGTAAAATATTAAAATATGTTAGGCTAGAAGTAAATCTCAGGGGGGGGAAGCCACTGGCTTCGCAGGTACGCTGGAAAATGTAGTAAATAACTATCAAGTTTGATTCCGCCTAACGGAATCAAACAATCCTTTTCATGTTTCGAAGCCACATGTTCCAAGAGATTAAATTGCCGGTTAGAGGGGTTGCTTAGTTCATCTACCAGTTACAATTCAACCAATTCTTGCTTCAATCAGGTTTTTCTTATATATATTTATATATTAGTTTGGAAGGTGTCAACCAAAATTAGGGTATTTAAGTGTGTTAGTTAAATAAGTGTAATCAAAGCTGGCTTGGGCTGTCTTCCTGGTCTGGGTAAAAGGTCCAATTCTCTGGGCCCCCATCACACTTTTCCAGTAATCCAAGGTAATACTGACAACCAGAATAGTTTAAAACCATATCACAACACTACCATCACCTCACCGTGTTACAGATTACAAATAATTTATCATTTTGTGATTTAATCATATTCTGCTTTAGTTTGTTGTAGGTATATTATACTGTATTGTATTTATTATTTTGAGTGTATTTAGTATACTTTCTTGGGGAACGAGCTGGTCTAGTAGTAGAGCGCAGGACTTCGGCCACTGAGGTCTCGGGTCCAAATCGCACCAATCACCAATTTTATCTTAGTTATAATGCTGCGACTTTAGTCGGAGGTAATGTGAAAAATTAATATGGACTAGAGCCTAGTTAAAAAAGTAAAGTATACTTGGTTATGTTTAGTGATTTTATTGAATAACGGGTTTTATCGTCCACTGAAAGTCGTCATCATTAAACTGTTTAAACTTAGTATTTTAAAAAAAATGATCGACGGGTTTTAAAAGGTAGCATTTTTAAAGCGTTTTCGGCTACATATATATTTGTGGACGTGTAAAGTGTCTAATAATTACTTAGACGCTTTTGGAGCATACTGAAGAAATTATGACTTTTTGAAAAAGTGACGCGCAAGAGTGATTGGTAGATTTGCCGACCCTAGCGGATTTTGGCTGTACCACTGGTGTTCCGTGGTTGAAGGCTCACATCACTTTTGTTCCGGGGGTCAGCAGGTAGAT